CTTGGTGAACCCCGGGGGGGGGGAGGGGGTGGGAGACGGGGTGTGGGGGGGGACTGACGGGGTGGGGGGGAGCCTTTGCTATGGGCTCCCCCCAGCAGCACCCCAACACCGTGAGCATCCTCCCCATGTCAAGAGCATCCTCCCAGCAGCACCCCAACACCGTGAGCATCCCCCCAACATTGAAAGCACCCCCTCAGCAGCACCCCAACACCATGGGCATCCCCCCAGAGGCACCCCGACACCGTGAGCATCCCCCCAATGTCAAGAGCACCCCAACATCGCGAGCACCCCCCCCCAGCACTGCCCCACCTCGATGGTGCGGTGCAGGGGGTCCACGATTTGCCAGATGATCAGCGTGACCACGTCCAGCCCCACAAGCAGCCCCACGGTGGCATACAGCTTCCAAGGCTCCAGAGTCTGGGTGTGGGGACAACACAGTGTCACCGAGACCCTGTGGGGCCCCCCCCAGGTCCCCCACACCCCCCTGGGTCACCCCTCACCTTCCTCTTCTCCTTCTTCTCCTCCTTCTTGGTGAAGACGGTGTGGACCCACCAGATCTTGGTGAACATGCTGCCGTACGCCAGGCTGAACCCCAGCCCGAGGAGCCACAGCCGGGCCTGGGGAGGGTACGTAGGTTGGGAGGAGCCGGTTGTACCTCCCCGTCCAGCTGTACCCACCTCCACTGCACCCCCACGGAGTGTACCCCCCTCCCATGGATGTCCCTTGACCAACTCCTTTGGAAGTCCACAGCTCTACTCCCGACTGTACCCCCTCCAACTGTCCCCATCCCCTGGCTGTATCTCCAGCTGTTCCTCCTCCAGCTGTCCCCATCCCCTGGCTGTATCTCCAACTGTTCCTCCTCCGGTTGTCCCCATCCCCTGGCTGTATCTCCAGCTGTTCCTCCTCCAGCTGTCCCCATCCCCTGGCTGTATCTCCAACTGTTCCAATCCCCTGGTTGTCCCCACTCTGCCTGTACCCCCCAACACCCCACCAGCCCCATACCTGACAGACAAAAGGGAAAAGCCCTGGCCCGATGTGGTACCCATCGAGTCCCAGGGGGAAGACGGCAGCAAGCGCCAGCGTGCAGCCCACAGCCGTCATGTTGTTCAGGTACGGCTGTGAGTTCTGGATGTACCTGGGGGAGGGTTGTTGAGAAGACAGGGTGTCACCCAGCCACCGTGCTCAGCTAGCAGTAACGCACAACGTTCAGCTAACTCAACGGGACGCGAGAAACGGGGACACGAAGTGAGACAACAGGAAACCACGTGCTACAACCAGAGCCTTGACATCACCCGAAGCTCCTATGCAGTGAGACGGGCAACTGGGATATCTACTAACAACAATGTTTTGTCACCGTCATCTTCTGTAGGAGGACATGGGAGCATATAATCCCTTTTTTCCCCTCTGGGTGTTGTTAATCACACGCTGCTGAGGGTTTTTTTAGCAGCTGTGGAAAAGGAAAGGTGTGATGTTTCCCCAACACCAGGAAAATGGGGAGGATCACTGACCGGACATGCCCGTTGTAGATGTTGAAGGCCAAGCAGATGATGGCCAGGAGGATGCCCAACGAGGCCAGCACCGAGACGGAGATGAAGAGCTTCTGGGACAGGAATCGGAAGGTGGTGATGACCTTGGTGTAGTCAGCTGGAGGGGCACCTCCTGCAGAGTCCATGGCACAATCAGGGGGCATGGAAGGGTCTTCCCACTCCTTCCCCGTGGCGGTGACCCCCCCCGCTCACACCCCGCACGCAGCGCCGCTCACCGATCCACTTGTCGTTGTTGTACCAGGACAGGTTGTCCTTGGTGCTGTCGTAGTAGCCGATCTTCTTGTAGACACCTCCTGCAAGGGCAAAAGGGATGGGTCAGGTGGGAGGGAAGGAGGAGTGACACCCCGCCGGCGTTTGTGCACACCCCCACAGGATCACAGACTGGTTGGGGGTTGGAAGGGACCTCTGGGGGTCCTCTGGTGCAACCCCCTGCTCAAGCAGGACCACCCAGAGCCCGTTGTCCATGATCGCATCCATGCGGCGTTTGGATGTCTTCAAGGATGGAGATCCCACCACCTCTCTAGGCACCTTCTGCCAGTGCTTGGTCACCTGCGCTGTGAAAAAGTGGTTCCCGATGTTCAGCCGGAGCCTCCTGTACTCCAGTCCCTTCATCATCTTCGTGGCCCTTCGCTGGATGCTCTCCAGTAGCTCTCTTGTACTGGGGAGCCCAGTACTGGCCCCGTAGCTCCAGGTGTGGCCTCACCAGTGCTGAGCAGAGGGGAAGAATCACCTCCTTGACCTGCTCCACCGCTCCTCCTGGTGCAGCCCAGGACACCGTTGGCCACCTTCGCCACATCACTGATTCACGGTCAACTTGGTGTCCACCAGGACCTTCTCTGCAAAGCTGGTTGACCCCCAGCCTGTCCTGGTGCCTGGGGTTGTTCCTGGAGCAGTTCCTCTTGTTGAACCTCATGAAGTTCCTCTCAGCCCATTTCTCCAACCCGCTGAGGTTCTTCTAGATGGTTCTTTGACCTTCTGGCATCTCAGCTGCCCTTTGCAGTTTGGTGTCATCAGCAAACTGACTGAGGGTACCCTCTGCCCCATCATCCAGACCATTGATGAAGATGTTGAACAAGACTGGACCCAGTATTGACCCCTGGGGAGCACTGCCGGTGACTGGTCTCCAACTGGACCTTCTGCCACTGATCCCCACCCCCTGGACCTGACCGTTCAGCCGGTTTTCAGTCCACCCCACTGTCTGCTCATCCAGTCCAGACTTCACCATCTTCTCCATGAGGATCTTCTGGGAGACAACAGCGTTGAAAGCCTTCCTGAAGCCAAGGTAGACAATGTCCACAGCTCTCCCTTCATCTACCAAGCCAGTAGAAGGTGGTCAAGTTGGTCAAGCATGACTTCTCCTTGGTGAATCCATGCTGACCACCCTTGATGACTTTCTCGTCCCAGGCTCCTTCCTTGTCCCCCAAACTTCCTCCACCTCTGGACCTCCCTCTGTCACACGCAAGAGCCGTTGTGTGTCGGTGAGGACACACGTCCTGTTGGGACACGTGGCCAAAAGGGTGTGGAGAAGGGGGTTGTCCCAGGTGTGTTGCCATCCCTTGAGAGGTTGCGCAGTGGTGGGACTTGTTGGATCGCGTGTCCTGGAGTGGTTGTGTGCTGTTGTTGTGCAGACAACATGGCCGCAACGCCAAGCCACAGCTGTTATGCGTGAAGGGGTGTTGCGGGATGCTCGGTGGTGGTCACCAGGTGCAACACGGTGACAGCGTCACCCTGATACGGCTGCTGCCTGTGCTCACTCACCTTGCAGCTGCTCAATGAGCGTCCAGGCCATGCGGGAGCCACTGGCGTCGAAGACAACGTGTCCCTGTGGGGTGGGATGGAGATGGGTGTTGGGAAGCTGTCAGGCGGCAGGACCACGTCCCCACAGGGGCATTGGGAGAAGATTTCCTCTGGGATTTTTGGGGTGGCTCACGAGGGCACCCTTGACGGATGCCTTCAAGGCACCACCACCTTGAAGGTGGAGGAGTTGGGGACATGGGAGACTTTGTTGGGGAGAAGAGGACACGCTGGGGCCGGGGACCGGCAGAGGCTCAGGTGTGGGCAACGCACCGAGACGCCCTCGAAGGCGGAGGAGTTGAGGGCCCGGTAGATCTCATCGGTGATGTTCTTGTTGTTGTAGTTGAAGTCCTCTAGGCGTAACCCCTTCTTGACCAGCTCCGCTGAGGTCTTGTTGAGGGCCAGGGCCAGCGCCCAGATGGCATCATAGGCCAGCGGCGCCTCCTGAAAGCCGCCTGTCTCCTCGGGGTTCTTGCCCAGCCTCTTCTGCAGCTTCTCGATGAACTCCTGGGACGTCTGGGACGGGGAACAAGACGGCGGTGATGTGGTGGGTGGGATGGAGCAGACCCCCTGGGGGTGCCCTGTGTCGTCGTCCCCCCCCTATCCTCCCCATACCATGTTGGAGATGCTGCGGGTGTTCTCAGGGTTGAGCATGACGATCTCGGTGGTGACGTGGCCTTCCACTGCTTCGGCCATCTCTGCCTCGGTGCAGTTGATGGCCGGATCCTTGATGCGGAACCAGTTGTCGGCGTACCAGCCGATGAGGAACCAGACGTACTTCTTGCCGTACAGCTTCTCCTTGTAGACCTGTGTGGGCCAAGGAGCAGTGGCCTTCCTCTTCACCCCATCCTTCCCACCATCACTCTTCACCCCATCCCATCCAGTCACCCTTCTCCCCATCCCGTCCATCCAGCCGGACCTCTGTCCGTCCACTCTTCACCCTGTGCCTCCACTCAACCATTTCCCTTCCCGCCATCCCACCTGCCTGCCCATCCATCTGTCCGTCCATCCGTCCGTCCATCCACCCACCCACCAGTTCTATCACCCTCACATCTACCCACACTTCCACCTGTCCCTCCGAACGTCTTTCTGCCCACTGACCCACGCGTCCCGCCACCCTTCACTCCACCCCACCATCCATCTCCCCACCCACGTCTACCTGATGCCCGCCCACCCTTCTCTCCCGCACACCCCCCACCACCCCATCCTCCCCCCTGCCCCCCACCGTGCCCACCCACACCGCGTCCCACCCCTCACCTCGCAGAAGACCTTACGCGCCTCCGTCTCGTAGAAGAGCCCCACAATGATACGGGCGTCCTGGCGCTGCAGGGAGACAAGTCACCCTGGGGTGGGACTTCTGCTCCCCTTCGCTCCTAGAGGGTCAACCCCACCCAGCTTCATTTGCATAACTTTGCATAGGGGTGCTGAGGAGGACTAGAACCTTGGTATTGCATGGCCAGCTCATGGACATTGCTCTCCATCTCCTGTCTGGAGGAGATGCATCGTTGACCTGGATGCTTGGGCATCTTGGGGTGGGGGGGGGTCATGCTCCCTTTGGGGTGCAGGACACGGCTCCACCTGCACCCCGATGGTCGCGGGTGCCGTGGGGGAGGACGTGGTGGGGACGAGGACCTGGGCGCGGGCAAGGTGGACTCACCTTGAGGTTGCGCACGGGGGCGGCGGGATCGGAGAAGAAACTCTGGCGGAAGGTGATCTCCAAACCGGCTTCCTTCACCCGTTGGTCCAGGTCATCGAGGGTCTGGCGGTGGGTGGGCAGGAGGGGTGGGGAGCAGGCAGGAGGGGCAGGCAGGGAAGGGGGCGGAGGGGAAAGAGAGTGCAGAGTGAGTCCGGGGAGGATGGCGGGGTTGAGGGGCACCAAGCAGGGGTTGGGAGGGGGGT